CAAGCACTGCATCTTATCTTTTAAAGTAATTTTTTGTTTCCTGTAAAGGCTTTTAGATGAAATAGTGCATAGTAGTTTTCCATTAAAGATACATGACCACCATCAACTGAAATCTAAGGCTGAAATCTTGTGTTTCCAAAAAATCTCCCCTTATAAGGAGAATCGACCACTAGAAAGATATCCTGAGGGCATAATATTCTCTTAGCTGGATGATACTGTATCTCACAGATCATGGAATCTTTATATTCACTTTTATTTTTATTTATTACCCATTGTACCATATGAATTATAAATATCTTAGGTAAAACTAGGAAGTTTTCTACAGTCTAGAAATTTCCATTCTAAAACACATGAACATAAAATGTGTCTGAACCACGTCTCTGATCTTCCTAGTCCCTTAACAGGGGACCCATAATAAATAGTGAAAAAACAGTCCTCTTGAATCTTAGGTCTTTCTTGTTGTAAAAGGTTTCCCTGTGGTTCCCACTCTCCCTTGAAGATACTTTATGTATTCCACAGCCAAACATTCATAAGAAATTTACATTCCTCTCCACATTCTCACCTTTTATTTACCCAACTACAGTCTGGTTTCTCTCCCATAGGGTTTTCAGAACCTCTGTCACAACAGCCATCAAATTACAAAATCCAATAAACCATGAATAATTCTTATCTCCTCGAACTGTCTGGAGTTGACAATCTTTGACACTCTGCCCTCCTTTGATTTGGAGGAATCTACTCTTTGACAAGTCTTCTCCAACTTATGTTTTCTCATTTATTTTTGCTCATTCTTCCTTAACACAGTATCAAACATTGGTATTTCTTAGGATTCCATCCTTAATCCTCAACTGTTCTTCCTCTAAACCCACTCTTGTGTCATGGCATGAGATGTACTTCACAAACTGGCCCCAACATATCTAATTTTTCTCCCATTTTGCAGAATAGCCTATATTCTTTTCCTAATAATCTTTACCTTGGACTTTCGGACCTATTCTCTGACTGCTATTCCTCTTCCAAAAAAGGTTTTCTGCCATTTCTCCTCTGTAAAAACTACTGCACATGTTGTCCAAAATACTGTGAAAATATCACTTTATAAAGGCTTTCTCTTTCTTGCTGGAAATCATTCACTGATCTCTATTGAGCTGTTTTCTGACAACGCTATGGTCAGATTTCTACTATAACATTTATCAAATGATATTTTAATTTTTTAAAACCTATCCATTACTCAAAATGAATTGTAATTTCTTCAAAAGTAAAAAACTATATTTAGTATAGCATAAAGAAAGCAGTATAGTATAAGAGTTATAAATCAGGGCATGGACTTTAGAATCAAAGAAGTACAATTTGAATCTCAGGTATACACCACTTCCTAGTACACGACCTCAGTGTTATCATCTGTGAAATGGGGATAACAATTAGATAATAATAATAATAGCAATATTCTAAATTATACATAACATGTGTAAAGTGCATAACACAATTCTTGGCACAAAGTATTTGCTAAGTCAGTTTTAGCTGCTATTAATTCTCTTCCAATTTAAATAGGGTCTCACTCATCATAGTTTATCAATAAATATTTGGTAAATGAGTTAATGAATAAGTGATAACAGAATGTAACTATCTCTCTATGTTTCTTTAATGACTGAAGTGATGAGGAATTCAGCAAGCATTGTTCCTACCATCAGAATAAATTTTAGGGCATAGAAAACTAAGACATAGATAAAATTTCCACAAACCCAAATGCAGGTAGAGGTAAAGAAAAGGTACACAAAAGTAAAAGGTGTTTTCTCTAAACCCCTCCAATTAGCAGCATATTTTTCCTGAGTTTATTAGAAAGGCTGATTATCCCCTTAAAGGTCAGGTGCCTCTGGTGATACTTTGTAAGAGTGTGTGGAAAAATGTGGAAGTGAACACTATTGTAGGCTGCTATGTCTACAAGAGATTTATTCTTCTGATACAGGGATGTTCTCTGGATAATCCATGTTCCTGATACCTGTTTGTGGGGAGGAGGAAGGATGGGACACATACTTTGCCTGGGAATAGTAAGAGAGGGACAAGATAGATCAAGACTGGGCCTCAGAGTAGGGAATACCAGCATCCTGAATTTGAAGTACCGAAAGTACCTAGATCACTATTTGGTCAAGGATCATTCTGGATTTATTAACTCTAAAATACCCACAGATCTATTGGCCTCACTATTCTGGGCCCTGCAGTTGCTCTGCCCAGGTTCAACTCCTCAAGACTTTTCACCTGAAGTGTTGCCAAACTTCTTGATGTGCAGTCCCTGCAGCTGATCCCTACAGGGCCCTTCCACGTGCCAGCAAGGGTCACCTTCAAAAGCACATTGCTTCAGCTCCAGCCTCTGCCTCAAAACCCTCTGGCTACTCATTGTTTTCATGATCCTGTGGACTTTAGCACAGACTGGTTTCTACTGACCTTTCAGGCTGTACCTCCTCACACCCTTCACCCCATTCCACAGGCACCCTCATTCTAGCCGAAGGAAAGTCCCCAAGTTCCCCACATAGGTCATGACCTCACATCTACGTCTTTGCTTATGTTATCCTTTCTTTTCAGGATGCTCTCTATGACACAGGATCACACAAACTACAGGAACACCAAAAGGCTGCCTTTTCTGTGAAGTCTTCCATATGTTTCCATTTCCCATTCTGAATAAATTACTTGCCTTGTTAAGACTCCACTGCCCAGGCTTTTTGCCTGAGTTCACACCTACACTTCTGTAGGTTAATTAGCTGCTCATATATTTATAACCCTGCTAATCAGTGAGCTCCTTGATGTTGGGTGTTAAATTTCATTCATCTTCACTCTTTTAGGATTTAGCACACTTTCAGGGTCTTATAATACTTGCTGAATAGCTGGAGGAACTTAGGGCAGAAGTAGGACTGAAGAAAGTTCTCCTCTATTTTCAGTTGCACAAGGTATTAAACTTGCATATGAATTGAGAAGTGAATCAATTAAGAAATCAGTATATATGTATTTTACAGATATTTAAAGTGGTATTTCTGGATATATTTTATGTGGGAATATTGGTTTAACATATTCAATATATTCCAGAAAAAAATGAAGATTAATTTTTACTACATGATTATTTTAATCACCTCCCATATTTTCTCAACTGTTGTCTGAAGAATAAGATTTTCTTGGATAACAAAATAGATCATTATGAACAAAACTATAAAGCTTTGGTAATAACACACCTGAATTTTAATACAGTTGTGCTTTAAAACCATTACTAAATAATCTTGAGATGTACCACCATGGGGCTATGATCAGGTCCTAGTCAGGGCTTCTGTTTATGGTATTGGATATTAAGGAAGCTGCCAGACATAATCCATCTCTAAAGCTCAATGCAAAATGCAAAAATAACTTTCATTATGATGAATGTTTATAGTTACACCAAAGGTGGTCTCTAAAAGTTCTCAGAGGAAATGCATTTATTTGTGATGGACAAATTGAATCAATAAAGAATGATTTAAATTATTAAGAAATAAAGTTTCTGGACTTATTTATCATGTACCTGATTCCTTTGCAAAGAAGTCCTACTGATTATGGTAAGACAGGTAAGACAGTTCCCAGTAAAATCTTAGGAAACAAAACAATGCATCATTTAATCAGTACTTGAAATGAGAAGTCGGTTTCCCTACATTAAAAACCACCATTCTAAACATAATACAGGGTATAGTAACGGAGTCTCAAAATGCCTGCTTCTGTACTTCTCTGATTAAAAGCCACTATTCTAGCAAATGTATTTTTATTAGCTCCATGAGCTTTTACACTCCTTCCCTTATACGGCTAGACACTCTAGCTGACTGCGGTGCATGCATTTGTCAGTGAGTGAAGCAAAGGTTAAGTGTGTATGACACAGATGGGCCCCACGATTAAGTATACACTGTGAAATGCATGTGGATGTTCATGATTTAAGTCAATGAACTGCGGCCTGAAATGACGTCACGCGAAGCGCAGTGGTAAGTGGAAGGTCAAACCTACTTGCATCTTGGCTCATTAAGCGCAGTTAAAGAGCAAATCCCCTCATTCTGACAGTAGTGATCACAAGGGTTCTCTTTCTGGTCACAGCGCTGACTTTTAAACCCCACAGAGCATCTGCAGAATTTCAGTAAAATACAGCTAAATAAAGCATCTGACTTTTTTTTTTTTTTTGCTAAATACTTTTCAAATTTGTTTCATACAGAGATAGTAACATGAATAAAATTTATAAAACTTTTCTCAGGTTACTCATTTTTCTCTCAGTCACAGTCATCACATGCTATCCTGACACGTCGGGGGAGAGAGGAGAATGCAGATGTGGATCACAATCGTATGTGGGCATCATGCTCCTGGTTCAAGAGTGATAACAGAAAGCTCAAAACAGAGAATAAGGGAGTGGAATGGTTTTATTCAAGATGCCCATTTTGGACAATCAGGTGTTAGAGATGGGAAATTATTAAATTCCAGATTTTCCTGGAGCAGAGAATCTCTAATACTCTCAAAAAGTTTAGAAACCCAGATTCAAGTTACATATTCCAAAGGATAGAGGGGTTCAGTAGGTTGACATGGTACAACACTCTAAACCTGAAGAAAACATCAAATAGCATTATACATTTGAAAAGATGTCTCAAGTCCTTTTGAAGAGTGGCTAAAAGTACTAACGTATTTGTAAATATGATTGTCTGGGTTTCATGTATCTGAGTAAAGTCAATGGAATAAGACAATTTTCCCCAGCATTTCCAAGTTCAAAGATCTATGAATGTCTGAAATGGGTATGATGCTAAACACCGAATGAGCTCTTCCTTGTGAAATCACTAGCCAGGTGATGAAGGAGGAGATTCTGTAGCACACGGGCCAATAAGGGACACTACTTTATCAGAGATGTCTTTGAAACAGTCATTTAAAATCTCTTACCCCAGAAAAGAAACACACTAGAGCAAGGATTCCATGTACATGCAAAGTCATATCATAAAATGTCCACAACATTATAAAATACTCACAGACAAACAGGTACATTTGTCTCAGGGTCCAGCTGGCATGTGCCACCATTGTAACAGTAGCCATCACATAACTGACAGCTGGAGGCAATCTTTCCATTAGTGCAGCTGCAGCAACAAAGAAAAAATATCTCATTGTTATTAGCATCATGATTATTGAAAGCTGACACAAACTCTGTACAGATGAGACTCTTCAACATAGGGGAGGAATGGAATGACTGGCTAAAAGTAAGCTTTCAGAAAGACAGACTTGCTGGAGGCAAAGATTTTCTTTTTAGGAGTGAAGACATAAAATTTTTTCTTTTGGAAACTTACAAATTTTCAACCCATTTGCTTACTACAGAAATTTAATATAGCTAGAAATATGTGTGGAAAAATATACTTTAATGTCTGTCACTTACACGTGAGGAAGACATTAGCATCAGTATCTTACTCGCTTTTCTGATAATCAGGGTTTTGTGACATCAGTGTAAGTTATAAACCACAGAATCAAGTACTCTGGGACATTTTTTAATGTTTCAGCCATTCCTTTAAAACTGAAAAATCTGGTCCAAAAGTTGTTATGAGTTTCAGACTCCACGTTTTGTAAGGAAGCACAGGATTATCTTGCAGTCACTTTTATCCCACTGTTTTCTCTCTTGGGACATGTAATGTAATTAATATTAAACTCTTTATTTCAAAAGAAAAAAACAATGAGCAATACATTGCAAAAATAAACAATAATGTTATAGGAACAATATGCAATATGGTAACAAAGTTATGAGGCTTTCCTGGAAGAAGTATGGAAACAATTCTAATTTACAGTACATAGAGTGTCTGGGATAAGAATAAACATTATGGCTACTGCCATACACACAAAAAAAGTAAACATAACAATAATAGTAAAAATGCAGAAACTTCTTACTTGCCTCATTATATTTTTAATAAATATTAATTTTAATAAATTAATAAATTGATTTTTAATAATTAATTAATAATAAACTATTACATTGACACTGAAAATTGGGGGAACAGAGAAAAGTTCATCATCAACATTCTGGGTTATCAAAGAACCTCTTCTATGAAAAGTATTTTAATAGAATCATATAAAGGCTTGGCCCAAATCAGAACTAAAACAGATCATACTAATGTTCTGATTATGAGATCATGTTAGTACTAGGTGCTATGAAACAATCAATGGTATTGCAATAAATCTGGACACAGCGTTGACAAGGAACTCAAGCTACAATATTATTGATTGATCACTTTGATCCTCTCCGTGATGGATATCTATTGCAGTTCATCCATCAAAGGGTAATTTGCAATGACAATCTTGGTATTTATTCTGCATCTATTTATTTGACCTCATGTAGGTGTTTGGCCTGCTGGAAATGCACTAGAATGCTTATAACTTCCCCAAGTGCTTAATTTAAAGGGTTTTTAAATAACATTACTTGTCAAGATGAACAGAAGCAATGGGTCAAGTATGTATTAGATATGATAGCGGAACCAAACAGGGAAGGAGTTGTGGTTTCAAGCTTCCAATATTTAACAGAGAATGCCACATCCTTTATCATCTACAGAGGCATCAGAATATGGATGCAAAGTGAGCCAAGTATTTAGCGGTACTGGTGTCTGATATGTTAAATGGATCTGAATCTGGAAGACTTTTCCTTGCCCTCCATGCCAAGCCTCCTTCAAAATCAAAGAGCAGAAAGTAATAGTTTCTTTTCCTATGAAAGGGACGACGTCAAAGAGAAAAACTAGCTCATTATACATGAAAGGATTTCCCACAAGAAAAGCTAACTACACTCCAAATACCACCTCTTAAAAGAGAAAAAAATTCTAATTATTGATTGCTTTCAAGAGTTATAAAAGATGTTGCCTTTTTCTCCTTCTAAAGGTTTTGTTTGAATCCTCAACTTAAGAAATCTGTGGATGTTTCAAATGTGAAATACAAATTATCCAAATCATTATAATGTATCTAAGAGTGCAGTTCATATTTTAATGTTTTCATAATTTCACTTCTTAAAGGCATAAGTGACACACACACATGTACACACTTTGCGATATCATTTTCTGAAAGTTAATTACCAGTTGTCCAGAGCATACAAAGAAATGCCTATGATAGTTGACATCACAGAGGTATTATTTAGGCTATTCAAAATTATGATCAAGTCTTTCTTCATCAGTATTTAGTTAGATTTATAGAAAAGAAAAACATGCAATTAGCTTCATTTAAAGATTTTACTCATTGTACTTGACAGGGTATCTTTTCTAGCTGACAGCTCACAGGAAGCCCATCAGAAACACACCTAACGATTTGATGTTAGAACTATATATGGAGGCTTGAATTTTTCTATTTAAGTAGAAAATAATTGACTTCCAATTGTGATTTTGTTTTAGTACCAGTTTTTTATTTATGAAACAGAAATTGCAATATCACTATAAGCATTTAATACTAAGATGAAAATGGTCAGAGGTATGAAAACAAACTCATTGACTAAGTTTCAGAAAAGCCCTGTTTATATGGACATGCTCGCATGTTACACAGCCTATCTGATAAATCAAGTCTTAGCCTCCTATTTTTAAACTTCCCCTATCTACTCATTGTTGGCAAATGTTACTTAACATTCTTAACATACACTTTTCTGAAAAGGTCTGTAAGAGTCAAGAATTATAATGCTGGACCTCAAGAGCCTACTCAGAGCCTACTCAGATGCCAGTTTTCTCTGTGTAGGCCTGAGACTCCTGCCCCTCCTTCCTCGCGTGGAACTTCCCCACGATATAGAAACAGGGTGTGTGTCTCTGCATGGGCTTTTCCCAAGTAAATTGGGAGGACAGTGAGGCCCATAACCTTTCATAAATGAGGGCCAATCATTCCCTGCATGCATGGAATGGAGCTGTAAAGAAGATTCCGCAGTGCATTCTTGAAAATGGTACACTGGACATGAAGAAAAAATGTATAGCCGCTAATTGAGATGAAGTTCTGTCATGCTAATATCTCATCACAAAGAAGTGGTGAGCTTAATGAGCAAACATGATTTTGGTAGTTTATATGAAAATGTATTTTCCTTTTACATACTTATCCAAGGCACAGAATATAATTAGTCAAATTTTCAATTACTTTACTTAAAAAATAATGTACTTTCAAATGGCTCCATTTGAGGGTTTGAGTAATGTCATACATAATGATAACACAAATCATCTTTAGAGTAAATTCTAAAAGGAGAGTAAATAAAAGAGAAAAAAAGTTGTGCTGTCTGTAATAAAATTTTATTGGGCCTTGTTTGGCAGAGCAACATAACTCAGTGCTGGCACCTTCACTGAGCTGTCTCAGAGGAAGCTGAGGCATGATCATTATGGCATATTTCTCTCATCTTCTCATTCATCATACTACAAAGCAAGGTAACTGATGGAATCAGTCTTTATAAGTCCTTTTTTTAAAGGTTGTTAAAGAAGTCTGGAGTGAGGATCGATCTCTAACCTCAGTGGCATAAACTTGTTTCATGATGGAACCTGAATGGCATTACCTCTCAGCTGTGGTGTTCTCCATTCACTTGATCTTAAAACCAAAGGATCATTTTGTAACAACAGAAAAGCAAACATTCACTGAGTGAGTAATGATGAAATAATTAAATGCCAAAGCTACTCTAATTTAGGATTATTACACAGAGCTTTTTGAATGCATGTTGCATTTCACTGTTTCTTGCTTACTGTTAGGAATATTCTATATGGGGAATGATCTGATCATATCATTCCATGAATTTTCATGTTCCCTAAAGGTATATAATACCATCATAAGTGTTGAATAAATGTGGACTTAATTGAAATGAATTGAATTTCACCTCTAGCAGAAAAAAGAAAAAAAAGGATGCCATGCTCACCATAGAGAATTTGAGAATAAAAGTTATTTACATTGTTTTCAAAGTTTATTACTGGACTGCTGTGTGCCTCTGTCCTTTTGGGTTCAAAAGCTTTTATAAATTAAAATGAATATCCACTTACTTGCAAAATATATCTTCACTGTCTTTATTTATAATGCAGTGCCCCCCATGGCACCTCATACATTTGTCAACCTCACACTTTGGCCCTTCATAACGTGTTGGACAGACACATGCAACACTTCCATCATCCCCAATGGTGCAGGATTCAGAATTCACACAGTAGTGGTGACACACATCTAGGAGGAATGCACACAATAGAAAAATGAAATTCTAGTAGACAACACTTTTTCTTTAGTCATGATAAATGTTATCATTTCATCTAATATTTAAGAATGAGTAGATTAATTTGCAAAAGCAGCTTGCAATTATACAAAACTTGAATTCTCTAATGATGCCATTGATTCCCCTTTTTGCTTGAGTGAGGCATCATTTCATCTGGCTAAAAGGAAATGAGTTATATTGATGTAATGCTAGCTGAAAAATTCTTCTGGTTCTGAATTTTAAAGTTTAAGTCAGCAATGTTCCTGAGCTTTCTAATGAGCAATATTACTATTATTCTTAAATTAGCAGAAGTGCTCAAGATGTCATTGTTTAGATATCATTAATTGTTGCCTCTCCTCATCCCTCTTTTCATCCAGAGAACCAGGCAGTGTGTGGTGAGTAGGGAACACTTCACCGCATATCTTGGAACCAGTTCTTGGTGTGGTGGAAAGGAGCCTCACTCTACATGCACCATCACCGGCCCTTGTATTTCTAGATGCCAGGGTAGGGTATGTGAGCAGACAAGAGGTGTGCCTGTCATGGAATTCCAGAAGAAAAGCAGACTGCCTGATCCATCATGGGTAGGACGTGACAATGGCTACTGTCCCCCTTCTAGGTGAGAACCCAGACTCCCCATCAGTCAGAGGGAAAACTTCCCTGTAGTCCATGACCTGTTTTGAAAGATGCGTCCTGTTGAGCATTAGTGACAATTTTCCCAACTGCAGAGGCAGACTTCCTCAAATATTTCTATACCTCTTAAATATGAGTGATAAAACAAAGACCATTTACATTTAATAACTGAATAATCCCACTAACTTTGTAATTAGATATTCTCCCTGTCTTTTGAAAAGCAGACAAGTCTATATGTGGGTTTATATAGGACTATGTTATAATTTACTACCATCAAAATATTGAAATTCATAATACAATAATCTTAAGCAAAAGAATTGATTAAATCAATCCCAGACTGTATATAAAAACTACAATTTCCTTTTAGCTATCTAATTGTGAAGTCATGTTAAATGAGATTAGCTGAGATGAAAATCACGATTAATAAACTTTAACCTGTTATAAGACAATTATAGTGGATGAAAAAAATTAAAACAACTTATAATTCTCATGTTTATATATTTATCTGGCCTTTTATTAAATAAGACAAAAATTAAATTTGACAGGCTTGCTTCATATTTATGGATATTATTTCAAGCATTCTTATGCTTGCTTTTGCGTTATGCCAGCAACCTTATTGAGATTCAATGCTTAAGTATATTACTATGTGCTTTGACTATATTTAAGAAAAGTAGTACTTTCGAAAGATGAGAGACTTGGAGACCTGAAAACTAAGCTAGTGTTACTATTAGTTCACTATGGCATATGTTTGCACTCTATTTTTTTTTATGAAGAATGTACTAGCAGCAGCCTATCTGATCATCTACTACCCTCTCCTATTTGATGCAGAAATCTCTATAGAACAACTTTCATGATCAGGTTGCTAGATACTTCTTAGTGACAAAGAGCTGTTTTAATGATGCCCCAGTTGTGCTGAATTTCATCTTTGGTTCGGGTTCAGTTGCCTGATGAGACATGGAAGTCAGCTGATTTCCAAGATCTTCATATTATGTTCTTATTCAGAGGTTTCTGTAGTAGGGAATTCATCAGAATCACGTAGATGACTTGCAAATGCAAATTCTAGTGCCATTCCCTGTAGTCCACCACATACCTCTAGATTCAAATTCATTAATCTGAAATGGGGCCCAGGTGATTTCAGGGACCTGACTGATGAACCAGAATTAGGGATCTAGCAAATGTAAGAAATGATGATCTGGAGATAATTCTACTGATCAGCAAAGGCAATACATTGTTTAATAGTTGTAAATGGATTTAATTTGACTGAACTAGTTTATTTCTTGACTTTGTGAGCCTTAATTAAAATGTAATTTTAATCTAAAATTTGGACCACTTTATTTCTGTACCTACATCACTGAGCAGACCTAAGAAACTAGAAAAAAAGTAGACTAACATTCTAAGGGTTGATGACTATCCTTATGCCACACTATATAGCATGGTATAGTTTGCACTTAGAATGCTAAGGACAGAGTTTAAAAATGTATCTATAATTTAATAATTATAAGTAATTTTGATGTATACATTAAATCTATTTAGACAGATTAAAAGCCATAAGAATGTACACAACTCATTAGTAATCAGAAAATGCAAATTAATACCTCAAAGAAATGCCATTGCAAACCCTCCATACTGACAACAAAGAGCAGAAACTCTCATATATGACTAGGTAGAATATAAGTTGGTTCCACCTATTTGAAAAACACTTGACAGTACCTGGTAAGTTCGATCCTTATGACCTAGCATTTCCACTTTTAATATATAGCCATGAGAAAAGTATGCACATATGTACAAAACATGTATATAATACTGCTCAGAAATTGATTTAGAAATAGCCCCAAACTGAAAATAATCCAAATGTCCATTGTAAGAAGAATAAAATGTTGTTTACCTATACAGTAGGATACACACACACACATGTGTGTGTATATATACAAATAAATGAAAAATGAAATTATACTTAGAAGCAATAATATGGATGAATCTCACAAAAATAATATTGAGGGAAAAAGACTGGGCACAAAAATATATGAACTGTATACTTGTGATTTTAAATTTTTCTATACATATTATACTTCACTAGAAAAGGTTTTTTTAAACTGAGTGGCACATAAACTACAATTAGAATATTTTAATAATTCTGGTTAATTTCCTAACTAAATAATTTTTCTCCTTACAGATGTTATTTCTAAAAGGAATTCATAGTACACTTTTTTGTGCTTTGTGGGAAATTCTCTACCTTTCTACACCTTCCATTTTTTTTATAGCATGTCAGATGCACATTATTCTATGCAGTTGTTTGGTCTGATGGCATACAAATGGAATCCAAAGAATGTAAAATAAATGTTTGCTTAAGATAAAATTGTGAAATAAGCAGATACTAGAATTTACATTTTAATAAATAGTTCTAAATTGCATGCTGTTAAGCCATGCTACTTTTTCCCTGCAAAAACAGGAAGAAATCATTTTAGGCTCAGAACCCTTTCTCTACAGATATTCAAACGGAAAACATTTCATTTTTCCTAGTTTACATGCTTAGCACTCTATGTTAAGTTGAAGTTCAGGGACAGAGAGTTGCTCACTGTACTCCAGCCCTGCCAGTTGCTTTGCAATGCCTTCCTGTGAGCATTTGCTGACTGTCTCCACTGTTAGCCTTCAGATGTGAAAGATTGAGAACCTGCGGAGTTACATCTTTGGCTGGATTATTTTCTGCACCACTATCAGGATTCTAAGGCCCACCCCTTTGAATGTATATTCCCTCTTCTCTTGACATCCTTCCTTCTTCTTTCTCTGCCTGTTTCTCTCCTTCTTTCTTTGTTTCAGTTTTCCCTATTTACTCAATTCCTACTCCAAGATTCCTGAACAAAGAAGAAAGTGGACCTTATTTCATAGGAGACTTCAGCATCTTGATACTTAAACTACTACATAAACACCAGATGCTTACAAACTGGGAAACAAAATTATTCCTTCAAATGTTTTCTGTTACCTTGAGTTTAATCATGACACATACTATGTGTAAGTCAAGGACTTTGAAACATCTAATGATGCTGTTTTTAAATTGGGGGATTCAGCCAAAGTCCACGTTCTCTACCATTGTTTTAATATCATGACATCAATGCACACTAAGTCATAGGAATGCTACCTAATTTCTCTCTCAATCTCTTCTCAGCTCTAATCCACTTTGAATTACAAGCACCTACATAAAACCTGCATAAATATATGCTCTATTTTCAACAATATCACCTCTCTAAATATTTTTTAATAATTATCAAATACTCACATTTAAATTCTACGTATCTCTTCAGCTGTTTATCTTCATTATCACTTCCCAATCCAGAAGAATTTAACAAT